AAGAGTTACCGGGACTACCACCATCTCGAGAAGTGGAATTTTCTGTTGAGTTGGTACCTGGCACAACACCCATTTCAGCAACTCCTTATCAAATGGCTCCTGCTGAGATGAAAGAATTAAAGGCAAAACTTCAAGATCTCTTAGATAAGGGATTTATCCAACCTAGTGTGTCTCCATGGGGCGCACAAGTTCTATTTGTGAAGAAAAAGGATGGATCGATGAGACTCTGCATTGATTATCGGCAACTAAATAAAGTAACAGTGAAAAATCGTTATCCGTTGCCAAGAATTGATGATCTTTTTGACCAACTACGAGAAGCACAAGTATTTTCAAAAATTGATCTTCGGTCAGGATATCATCAACTACCTGTCAAGAAGGAAGATGTACCAAAAATGACATTTCGAACTAGATATGGTCACTACGAATTTTTGGTCATGCCTTTTGGGCTAACCAATGCTCCGGTCGCTTTTATGGACCTAATGAATAGGGCTTTTAAACCATTCCTTGACCAATTTGTTGTTGTCTTTATTGATGATGTATTGGTCTATTCAAGGTCCGAGGAGGAACACAAGGAACACCTCAAGATCGTACTAGAAACATTGAGAAAGCACAAACTGATGGTCCCGGATAGGGTAGAAGTCTAGAGGGGAGGGTGAATAGACTTTTAAATCTTTTTCAACTTTAAAGCGTTTCTCCCTCTAAAGAGTTGATCTATAATCTTTTGAGAGATTTATAGATGCACAACGGAAGTCTTTACCCTTTATGGAATCAGTGTGTGAATACTTTCTATCCTGGTAGAAGATTGAACCCAAATGTCTGGCAGTTGGCTTGGCAGTTGGCTAGATAGCAGGGAACTGCTAAGGCAACTGCTGAGGAAATATTGGGTGTTTGATGAAAGTGATGATGGAATGTTGCTGAGAATAATGAGGGCTTTCAGAAAATGTGCTTTAGTAAAAGTAATCAGGAGCTTTACTGGAGCAGTGGTCTCAGCAGTTGAGTGGTGATGAGGGCACTGCTGAGGTACCTGCTTGGTTTAGAAGGTGATTTTCAGAGAGCAGTTTGGTCAACCTCCTCGTTGGTAATGTTATGAAGGTCTGGTGATATTGAGATGTTTAAGAAAAACAAGTGTATATGAGCAGAGGGCTCAGCAGTTGGGTGGACACCAGGGGACTGCTGAGGCACCTGCTATACTCAGAAAATGAATTTCTGGAAAATGATAGAACAGGCCTTTCAGTGATATTGATGCACGTCCCTTGTGTGAAAATAGTCTCAAAGAAAGTAAGTAATTAAGCAGTAGGATAAGCAGTTGGGTGAGTTAAGACAACTGCTTAGGATTCTGCTGGCAAACTTCAATCTTTTTGTAAGAAGTGCTAAATGTGTGCTTTGTTGAATGAATGTGAATCAGCACACAGTGTATCCTGGTTCAGAGGTGGTGTAATCCTCCTACGTCCAGTCCCATCCTCTTTTAGATGGATTTCACTAAAGTATTAAGCCCAATACACTTAGTGACAATCTAGCCTTTACAACACTTAGGCCTAGATTGAAGGTTTTTCACAATGAATATAGCACCACTCAAAGTTACTCAGTCCTTTGTGTTTTCTCTAATGAACCAGTGGGGATCAAAAGGTACTCTATCTATCTACTTACACTTTAGGATCCGAACAACTGTTCTCCTAAGTGTTTACAACAACTTGTGAAATGTTACAAGAAAGTTCTAACCTCCAACTAGGAACTAAACTTCTATGATTTAGCAATGATAGCTTGTAAACTGGAAGTTTAGTGAAGCATGAGTCCAAGCAGAGAGTAAAGTTTAGAATATCACTTTCTCTTTTGCTAGATTGCTCATGAATGCTTGTGGGAGTATTTCTCTACTTTGGATGCTCAAAGCTTGGTTAGAAACTTTCGTTTCAGCCTATATTTATAGGCTTCTCCTTTGGATTAATCTCATTCGTTGGTTAGGATGAATTAATCTCTGACGTTGAAATTCTTGCAAAGACGAATTGTACATTCGTCTTCTTGTGCTGGAGCATTTATTTGGGATGATCTCTTTGTCTTGAGTATCTCAGCCGCTGAAGCATCTCTTCGTAAAATCTTCTCCTAATAATAATATATGCGTCCTATGCTCCGGTCCCATGTATTAATTGCCTAGTCAATTTTTGTCTTCAATCATTTACATTCAATGTATTTGATTTTGCGAGCTTCTTTTCTTTAATAATGTGACATTCAATTAACTTTTGAGCTAAAATAATATATACCAGTAGGATCTAAATATCCTATTAAGGTAAATAAAAATTATCTTATTGCATTTTAACTTTTCTGGTAATATTCAATTTGACCCAAAGATTGTACATTTTATTTTGTCACATAATTTTGAATGCTAACACACGAACAATATTGAGACACAATGTACACGTGCTAAGTATAGTGGCATCATCAAAATCTATCAAAATTGGGTACTAACATAAACTCTATGCCAAGTTTTCAAAATGTGAGTTTTGGCTTGATACAGTAACTTTCTTGGGTCATATTATTTCAGCAGACGGCATAAGCGTGGATTCTACTAAAGTACAAGTCATTACTAACAGGAAACCACCTCAAAATGTATCAGAAGTTCGAAGTTTTCTGGGATTAGCCGGTTACTATCGTCTTTTTGTTAAAGGCTTTTCCTTGATAGCTTCACCTCTTCACAAACTTTTGAAAAAGAATACATGTTTCGAATGGACATCATCTTGTCAAGAAAGTTTTGATAAACTAAAGAAGGTTCTCACTGAAGCTCTGGTACTTGTTCAGCCTGTATCTGGTAAAGTCTTCACCGTGTATAGTGATGCCTCTCATAACGGATTGGGATGTGTACTAATGCAAGAAGGAAAGGTAATCGCATATGCCTCAAGGCAACTCAAAGAGCATGAAAAGAACTATCCTACACACGATCTAGAGCTAGCAACTATTGTTTTTACTCTAAAGATCTGGCGACATTATCTTTATGGAGAGAAATGTTATATCTTTATCGACCACAAAAGTCTTAAATATCTTCCTACTCAGAAAGAGTTAAATTTGAGGCAAAGACGCTGGTCGGAGTTAATCAAAGATTATGACTGCGTAATCGATTATCACCCGGGAAAAGCAAACGTCGTGGCAGATGCTTTAAGCCAGGAAACTCTAGCTGAATTACATCTCAAACCTTCACTTCAAGAGGAAATCATAATAGCTCAAAAGTCTGATGATCGATGTCATCAAGTAGCAGAGTCAGTTTCTAAGGGAGAGAGACCTGATTTCACTATGCAAGGTAATGGCGGATTGTGCTTTCGAGGACGTTTAGTTGTTCCGGATGGAGAGATTAAACAAAGAATTCTTCGTGAGGCACATGAAACAAAATATTCTATGCATCCGGGCAACAACAAAATGTTTAAAGATTTGAAGAACCTATATTGGTGGTCTGGTATGAAACGTGATATCACCGAGTATACTTCTAAGTGTCTTACTTGTCCACAGGTTAAAGCCGAACACCAAGTTCCATCTGGATTATTACAACCTATTACAATACCAGAGTGGAAATGGGATCGCATAACCATGGACTTTGTGACAGGTTTACCGTTGACACAAAGAAGGAATGATTCGGTTTGGGTAATTGTGGACCGACTTACTAAATCTGCACATTTCATTCCCATTCGAAGGGATTTCTCCTTATTCAAGTTGGCCGAACTGTACATTCAAGAAATAGTTCGATTACACGGGATACCATTATCTATTGTGTCTGACAGAGATCCAAGATTTACTTTTCAATTTTGGCGAAGTTTACAGAAGGCACTTGGTACAAGACTAAATTTCAGCACAACTTTCATCCTCAAAAAGATGGTCAATCTGAAAGAGTTACTCAAATTCTCGATGATATGATGCGAGGATGTGCTATTGAGTTCAAAGGAAGATGGGAGAAATATCTACCTCTGATGGAGTTCGCTTACAACAACAACTATCAGGCTACTATCCAAATGGCACCATACGAAGCTCTCTATGGTCGTAAGTGTAGGACTCCAGTCTGTTGGACAGAGCTAAGTGAGAGAAAAATCATTGGGCCTGATATGATTCAAGAAACAGAGGAGAAGATCAAATTGATTCAAGAACGACTCAAAACGGCATCTGATAGACAAAAGTCATATGCAGATCTCAAGCGTCGTGATATCGAGTATGCTGTGGGAGAAAACGTTTTCCTGAAAGTATCTCTTTGGAAAAAAGTATTTCGTTTCGGCAAAAAAGGTAAGTTAAGTCCGAGGTTTATTGGACCTTATGAAATCACTGAACGTATTGGTCGTGTAGCCTATCGACTAACGTATTGGTTAACCGTACCGTGGATTTAAAAAATTGCGGTTCGGTTAACCGGGAAAAACGGCGGTTTTCCGGTTTTTAGGCGCGATTATACGGTTACGGTTTTTTATGCCCACCCCTAGGTCAAACAGTGCAAAACAGTGTCAAACAGTGTCGAAACAGTGCCAAACAGTGTCAAAACAATAAAATTTACCCCCTGGTAAATTTATTTTCTTAATATGTGTAGGTCAAACCGGGAACATTCCAACGGGACGGAGGAAGTATAACATAGAGCCTGTTTGGTAACACAAAAATTGGCTGAATTGGCTGATTTTGCTGAAATTTTCGAAGTTCTGGCTGAAGTGGCTGTATTGGCTGATTCTGCTAATTCATGAAAAAATTATATTTGAAATATTTGTTATTAATAAATTAAATAAAAAATTATATGAAAAATAGCTAAAATGATCCTCTACAGTAACTTCAGCCAATACAGCGAGAAAAGTAACTCCAGCCTTACTTTTTCTGTTTATTACAAAATTCAGCGCGCGAAATTAAAATTTGCGTGTTTGATAAAAAAGCTGACTGATAAACCTGATAAGCTGAAAAAAAGGGTCAGCAAACGGGCTCATAACCTCAAGGGCTCATACTGATTTACCCAATAACAAAAGGGAGGAAAATTTCAATACACATGGAAAACACTTGTAAAAAAATAAGGAGTATCATAAAATAAAAACAATCATAAATCATAAATACTTTAAAAGGTGCTCATTTGAGTCATTTCATCTCTATATTGTTGTCATTCTGTTCCTCTTGAACATTGCTTTTATCCTGGCTATGGTAGTTTGCATCTTTTTTTTTTAAATTACTAGATTGAAGAAGCAACCCGTGAGTATACGTTTTTCTAATAAATTTTTGTGCGAGCGGGAAGTAGTACAGAGCCTGGGAGAAGAGAAGCTGGAGGAGTTCAGCACTTAGGATCTGACAATCTGACATTACTAGGGGCCATTTGGCTTGGCTGAGTTGGACTGAGAAATCATGTCACAGACCAACTGGGAAGCTGATAAAATGTAAGTTTTGATTATACTTTTAATTTAACTCTTTATCGATGTTTTGGAGTTTTGGAAACCAATTTTGCTGCAATTTATATGTTATTTGGTAGTTTTGCCTTCTGGGGTATGTGTATTCCCCTTAGCCAGATTGTTGCTTTATTATTTTATTTTGTTTTAATTTTTTCCCACGCTTATCTTCATATTGGGCATTTAGGGTTTGCAAAGCTTGGCGTAAGAACTTGTATGAAATAATTTCATTTTTTTGGTTTTCGAAATTAATGGTTATGAATTAAGAGTTTCGGTGTTCACTAATTATTTCAGAGTTTTAATTAGCCACTTCGTCCTATTCTCTACTTGCTACTCTAGATTTGTCATTTTCTTTGTTAATATGGTTTTGAAATCAACAGCAGTTAGTTTAAGTTCATCATTAATCATGTTTCTCTTTTGGAATTGTTTTTATTTTATACATTTCAGGTTAGATGTGTATATTTATGATTACTTAGTGAAGAGAGATTTAAAAGCAACTGCTCAGGCTTTTCAAGCTGAAGGGAAAGTGTCCTCTGACCCCGTCGGTAAGCTTATAGCTCTATGAAGTTTCTGGGTTCACTTTTATTAGTTTCGGGCAATGCTCTGACCTTCATGTTAACTCTGTTTCAGCGATCGATGCACCTGGCGGGTTTTTATTTGAGTGGTGGTCAGTTTTTTGGGATATATTTATTGCTAGGACCAATGACAAGCACTCTGATGTTGCCGCCTCCTATATTGAGGTTCAGTTAAATCTTCTGTTATTTTGCAAATAGTCATTTGAAACTCAGGCTTTATCAGCAAAACAATCAGAAGAATAAGTAGATTTTGGTTTACTTATTTGACAGCAATTGATGTTACTCATGCACTTATTCCTCACAGAAAATTCAGCATTTAGTTCACTCAAATAACCCTTAATCTCTCAGTTTCTTGCGTCAATACCTCAGTTTATATATCCACGCCTAGACCTACAAATTCTTCAGTTCATACCCAGTGTGGGGTGCCACTCTTTGGGGCCTGCACATGTCTGATGTCTCATATATAGTTCTGAAAGTTCTTAATTACTTGATCTTGCAGAAGGGTCCATATCATGGGCTATTTTGTTTGGAGATTGTAATTGTTTAATCTAACAGTCTTGCATTTTTTTAATTCGAATGAGGAGCAGTTTCTAATTTGAATAGCTTTATATTCTTACACAGAGTAGAGTAGTGTCCTCCAAACTCTTTTTTACCATTTGCCCCTACCTCCTTTTCCATTAATAAATAAGGATGTATTTTTTCGTAATGCGCCAGCTCTATAAGCTAAGGCCTAATAGTCTGTTTGGAATTGGAAAAATCCTAGGGAAATAAAATAAAGAGCAAATTTGGAAGGAAAGAAAATGTGGGGAAATAAAAAATTGCTCCAAACTCGATATTGGGAACTCATTATTTAATTATTATTATTCGCATTATGTAATTTTATTTACAAATTTTGCGATTTAGTTTTTCTTTGTATTTCAAAGGTAAAACCAAACATGAAAAACCCCATTCCTTTAATATATTTTCCCACCTTCCCAACCATTGCGCTAATGATAAGGAACTCCAAATTCGTAACATTAAATTGACGACTATTAGCAAGGAAAAGTGCAGAAACGAATAAAAAGATATAGGCGAGGTGCTTCGAGAGGCCTCACTCTCCCAAATCCCAATTCCAACTTCTTTTCTCCTCCTACTTATTCCTCCCTTCCCTTCTATTTATACTACCCGTACACTTATTATTATTATTATTATTATTTTATTAGCAGTTTAGCACTAATCTGCCCGGTTCCTATCATATCTCCCCCTAAGACAACCACCTTGTCCTCAAGGTGGGTGATAGGAATCAAGCCTGAAATTCAACTTCATCGTTGCGCCTCTCCCTTCCCAGTACTTCACTGATTTTTTTAACCAGGAGCTTCAGTGCTCGATCCTTCAAAATCAGCGATGTGTCTGTGACAGATCACAGATCTGCTTAGTGAAGTTTCATTCTTTTCAGTAGCCTTCAAGCACTCAATAAAGATATATGATTTCTTTCTTTCATGAAACTCCTCAAAGATTCTCTCTTCTGCACTATCAATGTGCTGAATGCAGGTTTGATGTTACTCAACTCATTGTCTGCAACAAGCCCTATGCAAACGTATTCATTTACCATCCACTTTTCTGTACTTGAGGTAGTATCACAGCTGTGGTTTCTAAAGCACCCCAAATCCCCTTTAGCACATGCATCAATTACCTCACTACCATTGAGTGTCATAAAGTAAAAATGATTGTGATCCTTCAGTACATATTCCTTTGGCCGTGCCTCATAAGCATGCACATCGAGCATTTCTCCAACGTCTTCAATGATACATCACCCTTCAGATACATCTTCAAGAAGTTGCAACCCATACCCCTTTTTGTCACAATCATACCACTTCAAGTTAGCATACTTCCTTCTCTGAAACTGTCGATTTGAGCTTGGCTCGCCATAGTTCTCTTGTGTATATAACTTGCTATTCAATTCAACTGCTGGGCTCGGTTCAATCCTCGAATCCACAAACCACTTTGATGGTTTGAATGACACCTTTAGGTGCCTCCCCATTTGCTAGGGCAGTTGTGCAACCAATTCTAGCACTCATCTTGCTTATTGCAACAGATTGAAATGAGGAAAGTGACGTTTGAAGTGGTACATATCCGGAAGTTACAGTGCTCCTTTCTATTATATTATCCCTAGAAACAGATGGAAAATAGTCTTGATGATCCTTTGAAATATAAGGAGCAGAAAGTCCCTCTTCAACCGTTGTCGTTGCCGTTGTCGTTGCTGTCGCCGCCGGCGCCGTCGTCCTCGTCCTTGTTGTGATGGTTGTTATTGTTGTTGTTATTGTCGTTGTCATTGTTATCATTGTTATTATTTATTAGCACTAATCTGTATGGTTCCTAACTTCCTATCATGCTAGTTCCAAACACAACTTTTAAAACTTATTTTTAGAATGTGCAGACTCAACTGATGAAAGCACGGGAGCAGCAACAGCAACAAGCACAACATCAATCGCAACAACAACAGCCACAACAAATGCAGATCCAGCAACAACTTCTAATGCAGAGACAAGTTCAGCAACATCAACAGCAACAACAACAGACACAGTCACAACAGCAGCAGCTGCAACAAAGGAGAGATGGTAGCCATATGTTAAATGGAACGCCCAACGGAATGGGAGGAAATGATTCTCTCATGAGACAGAGTCCTGGTGCAAATGCGTTGGCTACAAAAATGTATGAAGAAGGATTGAAAGTTCCTGGTCAGAGAGATCCTATGGATGATGCTGCTGCTATGAAGGTATGAGATGTTTATTATAGGATCATCAATAGCGTGCAAAATCCCAAGTGTTATTTTTGACTGAACACATATACACATAAAATTATTACAGCAAAGATTTGGTGAGAATTCTAGCCAGCTGTTGGATCCAAACCATGCATCCATTCTAAAATCTGCAAGTGCTCCATCTGGCCAACCTGCTGGGTAAAATTTCCAATTATATCTCGCGTATGATTATATTTACCCTTTTCAATGTTGGGTTGAGTTTTAATTGCAAATTGATTTTCTTTTGTCCTAATGATCTGAACTTATAATAAAACCTTTCCTGATTTTCAGTCAAGTGCTGCACAGTTCAGCTGGTGGTATGTCTTCACAAGTCCAGGCTCGGAGCCAACAACTTCCAGGGACTACACCTGTTAGTATCTTACAGTTATTTAACCTTTTCTTCTCATAGTCATGGGATTTTTCTAAATGTTTGACAGGAATGGTAAGAAAAATAAAAAGAAAGTTTGGTTTTACTTCGGAAAATGCGAAGAAAAATAAAATACTACGTATGATATTTTTTAACTATGTTTTGCAGTATTAATATTTCTTGGTCTTTACAACAACAACAACGTCCAAGCCTTAATCCCAAAAGAATTTGGGGTCGGCTAACATGAATCGATCTATGATATCGATGCCAAAAAGAGAAGACGGACAAGAAAGGAAAGAAAAAAAAGTAAGATAAAATGAATAACATAAAAATAAATAAATATAAGATAACAATAACACGAGAATATAGGAAAGATAAAAGATAAAAAATAAAAGAGCATAAAAAAGCTAGAAGATAAAAATAACATAAGAATATAAAAAGATAAGGAAGATAAACGATAAAAGAAAAAAGAGAGGAAAGGTAGAAAAGACATCAATCGTCCACACGGATGTGCGCCCTCCACTTTGCTCTCTCCAAAGCCATACCCTCATCCAACCCAAGAAGACGCATATCAGTTATGATTCCTCTAATCCAAGTCTGTTTGGGTCTTCCCCTCCCTCTCCTCTGCCTCTTCTCCCCACCCCTCAAGTCGTCTAACAGGTGCATCACTCGATCTTCTACGCACATGCCCAAACCACCGCAAACGAGACTCCTGCATCTTATCTTCTATAGGTGCTACTCCCACCTTTTGTCTGATTACCTCATTCCTCAAGCGGTCTTTTCTGGTATGTCCACACATCCAACGTAACATACGCATCTCCGCCACACTCATCTTTTGAATGTGGCATTGCTTCACCGCCCAACACTCTACGCCATACATTAATGCCAGCCTAATTGATGTACAATAAAATTTACCTTTCAGTCTAGTCGGCATACCTCGATCACATAGAAATCCTGAAACACACTTCCATTTCATCCACCCAGCTCTGATTCTATGGCATACATCTCCATCTAATTCACCATCCTTCTGAATTATGGAACTCAAGTAACGGAACATGTCACACACCGGTATCTCCTTACCATCAAGAGTAATCCCACTGTTGATACTACTTCTACCTCCACCGAACTGGCACTCCATATACTCAGTCTTGCTTCAGCTCGGTCTGAAACCCGTTGACTCCAATGTTTGTCGCCATATTTCTGACTTTGCTTTAACACCAGATTGTGTCTCATCAATCGATACAATATCGTCGGCAAACATCACGCACCACAGTATATCTTCTTGAATTGAGTTCGTAATTTCATCCATGACTATAACAAATAAGAAAGGACTCAGAGCAGATCCTTGGTGCACTTCGATAGTAATAGGGAACTCTGCGGTCCTCCCTACACTTATGCGAACACTTGTAGTCCAAAACATCATACATATCCATGATGATACTGATATACTTACGTGATATGCCTTTTCTAGTTAAGGCCCACCAAAGAATTTCTCGAGGTACCCTATCATATGCCTTTTCTAAGTCAATGAACACCAAATGTAGATCCTTTTTAGTGTCTCTATACTTCTTCACAACTTGTCTAATAAGGTGAATGACCTCAGTTGTTGAGCGTCCAAACATAAAATCAAATTGATTCTCTGAAATTTTCACACTTTTACAAAGTCTTTGCTCAACCACTCGCTCCCAAAGTTTCTTGGTGTGACTCATAAGCTTAATCCCTCGATAGTTAGCACATTCTTGTACATCATCCTTATTTTTATATAAGGGAATGAGAGTACTCTTCCGCCAACTCACTGGCATTTTATTGTTTCTCCAAATCATGTTGAAGAAACGTGTTAGCCACTCGATGCCTTTCTCTTCCAAACTTCTCCAAGCCTCGATCGGTATGCCATCTGGGCCCACTGCTTTCTTCCGCCCCATTTTTTCTCATAGCCTCTTTAACTTCTGTTGTTTAAATCCTTCTCATGAAGTCCCGATTTACCATACACTCTGGTTTAGTAAGATCATCAATTCCTTGCACTTTATTCCCATTGAACAAGGTATCAAAGTATGACCTCCACCTCTCTTTTATGAATACGTCGTCCATTAGTATCCTTTGATCGACATCCTTCACACACTTAACTTTTCCAATATCTCGAGTCCTACGGTCACGAAGGCAAGCAAGTATGTAGATATCTTTTTCTCCTTCCTTAGAGTCCAACTTTTAAAGTCCAACTTTACATACAATTCCTTGTTCACTTTTACTCTGGCTTCCTTCACAGCTTTCTTTGCTCTTCTTCTAGCCTTTTTGTACTCCTCTCTATGTTCTCGTCGCTCCAACTTTTGCCCAATTTCTTATAGCATTCCCTTTTGGTCTTTATTGCTTGTTTCACCTCAGCATTCCACCAAGACGTGTCCTTTTTTGGTGGCAGACATCCTTTAGATTCTCCTAGTATCTCCTTTGCCACTTTGTTAATGGTGGACTCCATTGATAACCACACATCATCCACATGTGTGTCATTATCAGTAGACCATACATCTTCCTCCAACATTTTGTGTGCAAAACTTTGTTGGAGATTCCCCTCGAGCCTCCACCATTTTATCTTTGGCTCCCCTTGCACCTTAACTCGTCTCCTTTTTTTACCTCGAAAATCAAGCACAAGCATCCTATGCTGAGTGACAACACTCTCTCCTGGGATAACCTTACAATCAGTGTAGCTAGTTCTCCAAGTCGTCCGTACTATAAAGTAGTCAATTTGGGTACTATCAGCTCTACTTCTATAGGTGACAAGGTGAAAGTCTCTTTTCTTGAACCAAGTGTCCATCACAGCCAACTCATATGTCGAGGCAAAATCCAAAATGTTCTTCCCCGCTTCATTTCTAGTGCCAAAACCATGTCCGCCATGGATACTCTCAAAACCATCATGACTTGGGCCCACATGCCCGTTGAGGTCACCTCCTATGACCAGTTTCTCTCCCCTTGGCACTCGTCGCACCACTTCCTCAAGATCCTCCCAAAATTATTGAGTGATAGATGCATCCAATCCCACTTGTGGTGCATAGGCATTTCTTGGTCTTTATATAACAAAAAAATATATATTTAAAATGAGTTTGAACACAAATCTAAAATTGATTGATGGACTTTTGAGAACATATTTAGTATTATTTAAATTTCCCCCAAATTTCATTTTTATTCTAAATCCCCCCTCTCACTCTTTTTTTTGTTTGAACCCGGTAGGGAAACCACGCATGGATGGGGTAAATGTCGGGGAACATTTACCAAGTTTTATTAAAAGCAAAATAAGTACAAAAAGAGAGGGAGGCTAGGCCAAAACCTCTCCGGAGAAGGCATACCTTCTCGAAAAACAACAAAACAGAAATTCAAACAATGGGGGGGGGGGCAAGGCCCGACCCAATAAAAATTAATATATACTTCTAAAAGAAGGGATACCAAATAAGTCCATATAATAAGCATTCCTTGCAATAGTAGATAAATCAGAAGCCCGTGAAAAAATCATTAGATGGGCCTTAGATTGAGATGCTACCATAAGCTTTGAGTTTTAGTGCTTGCTTTCTCAGACTCGAAGCGAGAGAGTGAGCAGCCCAGTTGCCTTCGCACGGCACATAAGAAAAGGGAACCCCTTTCCTATTCGATAGAAGCAACATTTCCTTAATGGCTTCTTTCCATCTGCTTCGACCTCCATCGACGACGTAGCTTAGACCCCCCTCCAGCTCTATTTTCCTCACTAATTTATTCTTTCCCTAGCAGTTCTCGAGTTTTGTTGAAACCCTAGTTATATTGGGCTTAGCCCAACTTGTGTAGAAATCCTAGTGCCTTAGTTATAGCTATAAATATACCCACTTGTAGGCTATAAATATACCCACTTGTATAAAGCTTTAATCTTCCATATTATGTTCATATAGTTCACATGGTATTAGAGCCATATATGTCCGTAGGTAGACCTGTCCCCAGTTTGCGGTTCAACCGGAACTTGCAGTTTTCTAACCGGAACCGGATATTAGGGACGGTTAGGAACCTTAGGTTTTCCATACTGGTTCGGTTTTACTGATTTTGAAGAACCGGAACCGCTGGTTACGGTTCAAAACCGGCTGGTTCCGGTTTATAACCGATAAATTTTGAAATTTTAAAAAATGTACAATCTTCTTCCTGCCATCACCTTTTTGTTTGTTTGGGCACTAGGGTAGTCGGGTACGCACTTAATTAAATTAGTACATGTATCATTAGTTATGATCACTTAATATATTTACGCACTATATATATTGTTAGCACAATACGACAATCAACTCAAACCACATATTTCATATAATCCTATGTGTAAAATATACGCAGTGAGGTTCCTATTATGATCCAAAATATCGGTTCTAATTAGTCTGTGAAGTCTATACATAAGTCAGTTAACAAGATTGATCAATCACCCCATTCTTCTGTGACTTCAAATATAAATCAAAGATAATCCAATGAGCATTTTGTTTGTTGAAATAGCTTATTTAATTACACAAAGAGCTCGGGTTTTTGTCATTTCCTAGTTTCCGTAATATGAAAAATACATTACAGATGGTTTAATAAAATCTTTAATTCAAAAAGTATGGTTATTATAATCTTTAATGTTTTAATTAAAAACATATAAATATTACCAATAAGGAAATATAATATTAGAGCTAAAAAACTGAAAACCGGCGAACCGGACCGAAACTGGAACTACCAGTTCCGAACTGCTGGTTCCAAACTGCCTAGAATCTGTACTATAAGATTTCAGTTCCGGTTCCTATTTCCTACTTTTGAGAACCTGGAACCACCAGTTTTGTTCCGGTTCCAATTCGTGTTGAGTGGTGGAGATCCGATCCACTCAAAATGGTCAAGGAAAGACGTTCAGTTGCTTGGGAGCGAATGCAGTCCAGTTACTTGGGGTCAAATCTAGATTGCTCAGGGTCAAAGCTAGGTTACTTGGAGTCGAAGCTAGGTTTCTTGGGACCAAAGAGAGCCCATTCTCTATAAATAGA